TTACAAACGACAAACAACAAACAAACATACACGTGAAACTAATATAAGCGTGTTAAAAAAAGAACACAGTTAATAATAATCTTCGCATAATATCGCGGCACTTTCACTGGCGTCAGCAACGCGGTGTCCGCCATGATCCTCCGCGTTAAAAAGTTAGCAGCGTTGATGGCGACGGGGCTCGGGCGCGGATCGGTTCATCGAGTCCGGTCGTGCGGCACGTCCGAAGCCGGTGGCGTATATCCTCGACCTTGTCACTGTGACAACAGGAAGAAGACTAAAGGTATCTTTTGCAGCGGGTCGTAGTCGGCCGTGCGGCACTTGCTGGACTTAGCCCCGTGGCGTATGACACGCGGTATTGGTCAGTGCAATACTTATAGTAGTGCGACGGCTGATAAAAGTAACACGAGTCGAGGGGCATTGTGTATCACGAAGCGACGCGGGGTCATGTCAGTAGTATAGTTTGTTTGGAAGACTATAAAAAAATTAAAAAAGAATATAAAAAAATAAGTAATCTAAATATTACTGCTTTTATTCAAAGTTTTGGCATTTAGAGGTATATGCTCGTAATGTTAAGTAATGCATTCAATTATATAAGAATAATTTTTAATGCTTATTCTTATATTCAAACTTTAAATATAAAAATAATTGAATAAACATTTATATTTTTCTAGTATTGGCCAGTTCGATGAATAATCTTAATGAAGCCGAAGAAAATTCTTCGTGTAAGTGTTGAATTATTTTATTTTAATGTAAAGTTCTGAACTCAGTGAAAGATTATTTTAAGATAAGTACTAATTTGGAACAATTTTTCGCAAAATTTTTTTGCATTTGCATTTTTCCATAAGATGCTTTTAAGGCGTATGTTAAAATTGAACATAAGTAATTCCAATAAATCATACAAGTAAATGTGTTTTTTTTTGTGGCTACGATTTATTTTGGCAACCCTCACTAGACCTATTATTTCAACATCAAATGATTACAATTCGTATTTAGTTTAAGTTATTACTCTTAAAAATCGAAAAAAATTTCCTTATTCAAAAAAAAAGTAGCTAAACCAGCTTTTTCCATACAAACAATTAAAATCATTAATTTCTAATATTCTTAAAGTATTCATTGTCGAATTAGATTTGATATGATAACAGTATTCAACTACAAAGTAAATAATTTTACTTTGTATATTTATTAATTTTAGCTTCGATGCGAAGCTGAGAAGGTATTGGTTTTACTAAGATGTGTTTTTTTTTTTTTTTGTGTCTGTTACCACTTTTTCTCAGCTCTCACCGAACCGATTTCTTTCAATGATACGTCAAAAGATCACAAATCGTATCTAGTCGAAGACATTACCCTTAAAAATTTAAAAAATTTCCCTCGTTCCCCGTAAAAGGGGGAAACCTCCAAAAAAATTACAAATTTAAAAATCGCTAATTTTCGAAATTTTTTCAATTTTTTTTACTAAAAACTACCGTAACTTTTTTAAAAATGAATTTTTTCAACTTAACTTTTGAAAGTGTTCCAGAAGGTNGGGGGGATTCAAAATGACAACTTTTTCACAAAAAATTGATTTTTTCAACTTAACTTTTGAAAGTGTTCCAGAAGGTCTCACACTTTTATATATATCTTACATTAAAGCTAATGTAATATACTTTATCATGAAAAAAAAAAATTTGACCTCTGGACTTGTCTTCACGGCGAAAATGGCTACCGAATGCTATTTTAGTGTGAAAATTCTCGATTTTATTATTTATATTATATTTAACTTTATAATGCTATAACTTATTGAAAGATGTATGGATCAATATAATTCTTTTTTTTGTAGATGCATGATGTCTTTACCTATCATTTGGTATATTTTTTTTATAAATCTGACTTTTTACCTGCCTACAGGGGGGGATTCAAAATGACAACTTTTTCACAAAAAATTGACTTTTTCAACTTAAATTTTGAAAGTGTTCCGGAAAGTCTGACACTTTTATATATATATTAAATTAAAGCTAATGTAATCTACTTTATTATGTAAAAAAAAAATTTCGGACTTTATTTTGTCTTCACGGTGAAAATGGCTACCAAATGCTATTATTGTGTGAAAATTCTCAATTTTATTTTTTACATTTTTAACTTTATAATGCTATAACTTATGGAAAAGTGTATTGATCATTATAATTTTTTTATGGGAAATACTATTTTTAATATTCCTTTTTTCATTCGACATACTTTATCTTAATCAGAATATTAATAAGGAACTAGCAGTTTATGAAGGTTTTGGAATAATCCACCAATTTTTTAAAATTAAACACTATCTAAAGATTTGCATCGAAGCGTTTTTTTTTGATAGTGATTTGAATCACTGTCAGATATCATCATACTTGATCCAACTATGCCACGTCACCACTGTGCCGCGACCCCCCTGTGCTGGGTTTTTTTTAACTTTATTTGTGTGTGCTACTACTTGTCTATAATATTCCAAATTTTTTTGTAACATGTTGGTAACCGATTATAGAAATGTTTTCATAAAAATATTTATCATAATTTTTATTTAACGTCTAATTTTAGAAGCATATTTAGCTACATCGATTCTCTACCAGTCCGGTCGGATGGTGGGCGGAGTGAAGCGACGGCGTTCGTTTAACAATATATGTGATATAGCAATGTATTTATGGGTCAGTGGAGTAAGCTTTAAAATATTGTATAAAATATATACGACAATCATTGTTATTGTACGGTGGTACATTTGATGTTAGAAATATGATCACTTAAGAGTCTGATAGCCGACAATAAAATTCTTAGAAATTATTTGTACATTTAATATTAATAACACACAGACAGCGACGCAATTGTTCTCATATAAAATTACAGACGTTTATGAGCGTTACACTATAATTATACCTTTGAAGTTGGAAATATGCTTACCTAAGCGTCTGGTAGCCGATGATAAAATTCTTAGAAATTATAACTATAAATTTAATAATATATAGACAGCGGCACAATTTTTTCCCTATAAAATTACAGACTCTTATGAACGTTATAATATAATGATATCTTTGATGTCGGAAATAT